TGCTGAATGGCATCGGCCTCAGCTTCAGCTTCAGCCTGAGCTGTGGCAGGGATCTCAGCGGTAGTTGACGTCATGATGATCTGGCTCTTAATCAAGTGAGTCGTCGCCTGTCTCTTCCTTGCGGCTTTTTCCTTCATCGTAGATAAGTTTAATTAAATCTCTGGCATATTCAACGTTCCACATTCCGCATGCCACGGCTGCATTGCTGCCACGCCCACAGCTGGCTTGACCGCGCATTGCAAGACTTTCCGCACTTTTCGTTGAAGCAACAAAGTTTTCTGATTTCGATTTTTATTGCGGCCAAAAAACCCAGCAACAATTCCCAATATGCAGCCATGGAGATTGGAGGAGGCAGCAGTAGGAGCAGCAGGAGAAAGAGCAGAAGCAGCTGCAGTGAGCGTGGTAACAAGTGCCAGCAGGTGGAAATGGAGGTCGGTTTCTTGGCAACAATTTCATTTTGGAGGCACTTGACTGCTGCACCCACTCCGCCTCTGCCTCTGCCTCTTCCTCTTCCTTACATTTCCATTTCCATGCCAACTCTTGACTTTCCACCTGGCCGAATGTTTTGATTTTGGTTCTGGTTTTGTTTCTAACTGCACCTGGAATTCCACACGCAAGCAGCAGAAGGTTGAAATCAGAAGCAAGAACGGGGGAAGGGAGCAGAGAACCACTTGAACCACAAAATCCACACAAACATTTCTGCAACGCAAAACTTTTCCTATTTTCCCTCCTTTTCCCCCTGAATAATTTAAAAAGTGGAAAACACACAAAATATTAACACGAATTTATTAAAACACCAGTCGAAGCAACTCGTGTGACTTTTAATCAGCAGAGGCTACCCCAACTGCCACGCCTCCCCAGCTGCCCCCTTTCTGCAGAAGTTCTCGATGTGCGTTCCTGTAAGCTGTTAATCTTTTTTCAACTTTGTAATTACTTTTGCAGGCAGAAAACTTTCTTTGAGCACATTCACAAATTATTTTTGAAACAAACAATAAAGCCACTCAACCACAGCACCACACGCACTCCTCTCTCCAACCACACACCACACACAGTGTCACCAACCACTCGACTCCTGTCCGAAAACTCAACTAAATCACTTTCTATTCAACAGGACTCTGTTTCGAACGCAGCAGCTGGCCAGCTGGACAAGCAGTCGAGCAGTCGAGCAGACGACACAAAAAGGCCACCAGGACCAGCTGGACAAGGAGGACAACCAGGACACATGCTCGACACCAACAACTGGCTCTGGCTACTGACCAACGGGCGAGCCGTTGCCAACGTGACGAGCTAAGCCACCAGCAAGAGTAGCAGTTGGTCAGAAGAGAACGAGCCACAGAGAAGGGTGGAAGCTGGCCAATAAAAAAGCTAACGAAAGTCGTTCAGAGTCAGATGCGAAAATGCTGATGCCACTTGCAGTCGACAGCCGAATTCAGCAGCAGCAACAACAAAAACAACAACAACAGACGCAACCGCAACAAAAACAAAACTGGAAAAGTTGAACAGGGACAGAGGCTGCAGCGGCTGAAAAGTTCCAAAATTTACCAGACACAAATTTCGTCGAGCTCTGCTCGTCGCTTTGTGGTTGCATCCGGAACTGTTAGCAGCAGTTGCCGTTGCCGTTGCCATTGCCGTTCCCGGAATTTGATTTTAACGCATCTTTTAGAGCCGCGTTGCCTGTTTGCCCACTGGCAACTGGCAACTGGCAACCAAATCAAAACCGAAAGGAAGAGTCTCGTCTGTGCCTCCGGAACGCTTCAATGGTCACACATTGAAATTGGCTGTCACAAAGCCAAAGGGGAACGCCACTCCCCCTTGAAATGAGCGCCAATTGCGGCGTCACATGCACTGACAAGTTATTAACTGCACGTATCCCAGGCAGATAAGCATCTTCCACAACATAACATTGACAAGAGAAGAGCGGAGGAGCTCCTCATGTTCATTATGGCCAACAGCCGCTGTCTGCTGCTGCAGCTCCTCTGGACTGCGCTGCTCACTTGGCAGTTACCTTCGGTCAGCGGATATCTCAACATTTTCATCAGTCACCACGAGGTGATGAAGCTGATGGGTAAGTTCGTATGAGAAACATATGCGGGGGTAGGGCAATCTCATTTCGATTTGAAAGTAATCGTTGGGACGTCGGAACTCCGCCCCACTGATATGATTAATAGTTGAATGGCAAAGTGCGACGGGACAAATTCATTGCTCCTCAGCCGGGAAAACAAACAAACAAAGTTAAGGCGGGGGTTTAGGCACAGACCACGTCGCAGTCATTAATAGTTCCAAAATAATTGTTGACCATGACGACGGCGAGGACGATGTAGAAGAAGAAGAAGCAGGCGAGGGGTTGGACAACCACAAAAGTTACGCGAAAACACGAAAGAAAACAAATCCACACAAATCGATTTCCGGCTGCAGACGGAGCCACCCTCGCACCTTTGCCACCCTGTTGACAGCTGCAAGTAGTCCACCTCCTACTCCGCTAAGTTTCCCCTCCCTCACTCCTTGCTCCATCTGCTAACGACTTCACAGTCCGGTGCGGCGCATTTTGTTGTTTGGTTTGCTGTTTTGCTCGACGCGAGGCCTCGTTATTGATGGCGCCAGCTATTCAAGTGCCTCCAGATCGACCTTGTGCCAGGCCCAGCCCTAGCCCCAGTCCCGGTCCCAGCTCCTGCCCAATTCATGTCCTCGAAAATAGTTACAGTAATAGGCATTCATTCGGCGTGCCAAGGTGGAATGACGTCGTGTTGCTTGCCTCTCGTTGATTAATGGCTCATGGCTCCAAAATGTGAGCCAAGGCGGTTCCTCCTCTCCCTCTGTCTCCCCTTAGCCACCAGTCCATCATTCATGCGTTAGCTGTGCACAGCATTTTCCGGCACTTAACTGTAATTGAAGCAAAATGCTTCAATCTCATTATGCAGGCTCAATCGTACTCCTAGTCCTAGTCCTAGTCCCAGTCCAGTCGCTCCTAATCGCCGAATCACGGCACTTCAATTAGTTGAACAGCATAAAAATAATCCACACAAGTGCCACATGAATCCGAGATTGATGAATGGGCGAACAACTTTGAGCTGCAGCTGTCGCCCACGTCACTGGGTCAGCTCCAGCACCCTTTGGCCTCCTCTTCGCTCAGCTTGGCTCTCTTTCTCATTCGCTATCTCTGTGTGGCCCTCTCTGAGATTGCATTCAAGTTCGCTGAGCCATGCACTACTCGCCCGGGCAATTGACACTTCACAAAGCATGCGCTGGTCCCTCACCTCTTTTACATCTTTGAATGCAAATCGGATTTCATTAGCGACAGCTCAAAGAATCTTCCACTTTGTTTGTTGCTCTTTGTAATTTCCTGTGCTGCGCTGTGCGCGATTCCCATAGATTCCTTTTCTCACTTGCCTTTACTTCATCATCTCCATCCACAAAGCTCGTTATGCTTTTAACGACCAGTTAACACCCCTCCCTTATAATATTTGCCTCCCTCTGGGCTTGTTTTCCATTTCAAAATTAACAAGCAGAATGAAATCAAACAAACTGACCCGCCCAGCTCGCCTCGCACCCCCTCGGCAATCACTCGCCCATCTTCTCTTTCCTCCAACTGCGACATGCCATTGCATGATTTATTTTCAGGGCTCCTCTTCTTCCTCTGCATATGTCTCTATGGCTATTTGTTCAAGTGGAATGCGTGTAACGGCTGCATGACCCAGCTCCATCTCCATCTCCATCTCCATCTCCATCGCCCAGTCCCCGTTCCAAATGCCGATTCTCTCCCTGTTTCAGTTCCTCCTCCCTTATTCAGCATACGCATTTCTCGAATAGCTTCACTCTCTGGCAGTTCCTTCATTGCGTGACTGTGATTGACGTGATGCATTCCCACAATAAAAATCGAGTATAGAGTTCGCTCTGCTATTCCAAACGCCGTCCTCTGCCTCTTCCTGTTCCCTCAACTCACAATTGGAAAGTTTGTTCCATAAAGCGAGCTGTAAACATGAGTAAAACGATTTCTTTTCTGGCAACTCCTAACTACACTGATATATATATAAATATCTCGATTTCTTCCGATGGAGTGACGACAACATTAAAATTAAATATTTTTTACGCTTTTGCTGAAGATTTTCCGCTCTGCCTTCCATTGCCTCGTGTCGTCCCAGCAACGAGCAATTTTCGACCCACAGTTGCCAGCGACACCAGCTTCAGCCACCAGTCAGGGAGGGTGGCCCCCCTTACCACCCCCACCTGCTCCGTGCTGTGCAAGGGTGCGTAAAAATGCAATTTCAACAAGTTTCACTTTGATGTGCACATTTCTTGAGAGCGAACAGGAGCCCAAGCTCGAACAGGACTTGTTTCTAGGTCTAGAGCATTCTCCCACCTTTTTGGCTCAAAAATTTCCCTTTAAATTAAAAGTTAATGCAAAAGAAAATTATTTTTAATGAATAGAAAACAGCCCGAAAATCGCCACGTTAATAAAGCAACCCTCGACCTTTTTTGCCCACTCCCTCCTTCAATAGAGAAGGGTCGATTCTCTTTACTGCTGAGCAAGGCGAGAAAAGCAGACAGAGAAGGCGTGAGCAGTTCTTAAACTGTGCCAATTAAATGTCGAGCTCGATTTTGATTCAAGCAACGAAGGCGAAGGGGAAGGCTATTAAAAGAACTGCATTCATTGCAAAGGGATAAGCCATGTCGAGGTGTCACCTAGGCAGCAGGAAAGGGGAAAGAGGACAGAGGCAGGCGACAGGAGACAGGCGACAGTCGAAAGACAAGATGATAATTTCAGGGAATGCACAGCGTTGCACTGCTTCAAAGCGGCTGCTCAGCTAATGACACTAATTATCCTCTTAATCTTTTATGCAAATTGTGTGATGCTATTGTCAAAGCCGAACCACGGTCCTTCTGCCGCTCCGAGATACTCCATCCACCAAATCCTTGCTCTCCACCTCTGCGAGCGAGCGTCTGCGGTTGCAGCGTCACGTGTGTGTGGCGAAGCCATTCAGACAATCGCAGGTATTATAATTATGGTGCAGAGCCAGGCGACAAGGGGAACTATCTGGGGCAAGGCACTGGGACTCCTGAACGAGCTAAAAACTTTGCAAGGCGACGGCAAAGTTGGCGCTGTGCAAGGCGCGTGATATGAAAGACGGCCAAAGTTCGACGGAGCTAGACTTGGACCCGTAACCAAGTTGGCTGTCCTTTTTATCTCCGGTTGCAGAACCAAAAGGATCTCACGAAAATTAAAGCTGCTTTCAGGCTGTAGCTTAAATTCGCTAAAGAGGCCAATCGAAAAGTTGAAAGTCTCCTTGAGAGTGAATCACATCCGTTTGCAATCAAAACTGAATTAATTAAGCCAGAAGTGCATTCCCTCGGCTTTGCCTTTGTGCTCTGCTCGCTCTGATGGCACCTTGTCTAAGCTTTCATCATTGTTGTCCTACAACTGCGCCCGAGCTTAGTGACATTGTCCTTTTCGTGTGTTTGTGCATATTTAATGTGAGCCACTTTGAGGTTGTGTTTGTGTTTTTTGTTTAGTCTGTGGCGTATTTCCCAAAATGGATGAATAAGAAGGGATCAAAGTCGAGTCAATTGCAGCCCCTATTCTCTCTCTCTAGTTTATTTCCTTTGCTCTATTTCTGTGCAGTTTGCTGGCGGAAACCGGAAAATGTAAAAGGAAAGTAGCACGCTTTGGGTGCCTGAAGGATAGTCAGCGGGGTGCATAACAATTTCGAATTCAAAAACAAAATGAAACTGTAAAGGAAAACGGCATAAGAATTGGGGAAGTTCTTAGACTCGTCAGTAGATGGAAGCTAACGAAAAATGCTTTTTCTTGTTCTATAATTGGATTTGAAATTGTTTTAAGAATACAGAGAGCGCTCTCCTAAATGCACGCACATACGCGCTTCTTTCCTTCTGCCTCTGCCTCTGCCTCTGCTTCCACCGGAAGCGCAACACTCAACATCCGGCACAGACGCACAGTCAAAAGAATGAATGGGGAACTGGGGAAGTGGGGAAGAGGGGAAGAGGAGGCCTGGCAGTCAAGTTAAGGAGAGTAAACAGCATTTGCGACTTTCAATGCAAAGCGAGGCCTGATCCCAGGGAGTAAATGATGCAACATAAAGCAACCCACTAAGAGGGATAGAAGGGAGCTGGGGGAATAAGGCGGAGGCAGAGACAACAATGAAGGCGGATGAAGAAATTTAATTTCACGTCTTTTTAACTCGAACAGCTCGGCTTTCACTGCCAATAGAGTGAGAGACGGAGGCTTAGAGCTTCCAGGGCCGGGGTCAGAGATTAGGACGTTCCCGAAGCTAGTTAAAGTTACACAAAGCGAAGCATGATGATGAGTTTGTCGCTGTCTCGCCTGGTCTCGTCTCGAATCGAGTTAGACGATACTTGACACCTTTTAATATCTCGTCTCACCCCACACAAATCCCTTCGTTTCCTTCGTTCCCCTCGGACGTCTGTCGCGCTTCATTTGAGAGCGAGAACCAATTGACGCCCTTTGCATTGTCGCCTGCTGGTGACGGATTCGATTTCGATCATTATTGTGTCTTGGTTTTTGTTTACCGAACTTCGCTCACCCACTGCAAACCCACTTCCAACCCCCCAGAGTTGTCGAGGAAATCAATTTCCGTTCAAGTTGAAAGGTATATAGAGCCGAAGGGTAGAGAGAGAGAGAGAGAGCCATCAACTGCGAGGAAAGTAAACACAGAATGCACAAAGTTTGCACAGCAGTAGAAAATCCTAGGAAGGGACTCCAAGGGGAAGCTGTAACAAAGCAAATTGTGAAATAAACTTTCTCTTCATGCCTGCAATGCATCGGCAACCTCATCTCATCCTCACTATGCTATCTATTCGCTGTTATCATTCGCAGAGTTAGAGAATTTGTGCTATGTGCACGGGGGAGCCATTAACACATATGCGATGCACTTTAGTATCCCTGTTTCGTTAGATGTCCCCTAGCTGGTGTTCTCCTAGCACAGTCTCATCGCTTATCCGGTAAGCCACCTGACCCACCTCTTCTACCTGACATCAAAATTTGATTTGCACTCCATTAACTGACAGACTCACTGACAACTCCGTTATACAATTAGCATGGACGCACTCTGCACCCCCACAAAAGCGTTGTGCCGCAGGAGATCGAGTCGTTCCCGTGCACGGGCAATGCCAGCCTCCAACTGCCGGTCAATGTCAACATGGTAGTGCAAGGGCCTCCCCGGTTTAACGACACCCGACTCCACTTCAAGCGCAACAAGATCTGTGCCAAAGGTAAGCTCTCAATGCTCTATCATAACCAATTGTCATTCGCTTATATCTCATTTCCATTGGCATAACTATCGCAGGCATCTCACCTGAGCCGAATCAGTCACCTGCCCCTGCCCACGCTCCCTCCCAGGGCCCAGCACTGATGAGCGCCGCCGCCTGTGCTTTGGGCTTAGTCCTGGCCGTAGGCCTTGTGGCTAGCATGATGTATGTGCGGGCTCGCAAGCAGCTACGCCAGGATTCGCTACAGTAAGTCTGATAGATTGGCGCATCAATTTAATTATCTACCTTACTATTAACTCTTCATTTCCATTCCATTCTTAGCACCAGCTTCACAACAGCAGGTTATGGCAGCCATCAGAACGTGTTCATTCGCCTTGATCCTCTCGGACGGCCCCCGAGTGCCACCGGCTCCTACGCGACCATTGCCAGCCTCAACAAATATCCAACGGAGACCAAAAAGTCCTGCAGCATATTCGACCGTAAGTTTTTCCACCTTCAATAATCCCATCCCTTTTTCATCGACCTCCGAACTATTCATTTCCCTACAGGCTTCCGCAGCCCACACCCTATGCCACCGCCCTGCTGCCAATGGGCAACCAGGCCGGCGAGACCATTTACTCGAAGCCAGAATCGGTATGTCCCTCGAGGATTTCTTACTACGCCTCCTCGCAGCTAACCCAGGTGAGTCCCAATCTCCATCTGATTCTGTGGCCACATGAATTACCTCCAAGGGGGTTGAATCGAGCAACCAACTGCCCTCAGGTAAATCAATGCCTTTGATATGTTGCGACACGTGCCAAGCACAAATGGATATGAATCCCGTTGATGTTCGGTCGCTCTGTTGCCTAGGCCACCAGATCCACTCCGCTGCCAATTTGCGGCACTCACCACACCAGACCAGACGATTGCTCCCAAGGCAGCAGCTGCGTCTACGTCCACATACAAATCCCGACTCGAGCCACCTTTCCACGTCGATAAAAATTAAATTCTAATTTATATTTACGAGCTGATAAAGCTCCCGAAGTGCGTTAAACTCGAAACAAGAGCCATTCATAAATATGGGACTCTCCTTTCCACCCACCAGGGTGCCAGGCTGCAAGGCTGCAAGGCTGCCAGGCTGCCAGGCTGCCAGTCCTAGTTGAATTCAGTGGGGTTGCTGAGAGTTGGGGCAAGTTTTGCCTGGCGCTCACGTAGCCCGTGCCACGACCTCCACACACACTGAAAGCAAATAAGAATTACGGAGATACGCGCTCTTATATGTGAGTGGAGAGTAGCTGGGGGAAGCGTGTGAGTTTGTTTAGATAAGCGGAAGGTGCTTCATACTCTGCTTACTCATCCCTTTGTTTTTCTTCCAGCTGAGATACTCGCAGGGTGCAAATTAGTAAACTAAATTTAAACTAACCAAAAGCCGCAGATGAATCCCTACGAGGCAGCTATCAAACCTTAAGAATGTCTGCTACGATTCCCCTCAAATTAATTTTATGATAGCCTACAAAACTTTTTATACATTTCTTCCTGCCATCCTCTCTCTCTCCGTCCCTCGCTTGTTTTTATATATTCAGGGAATCCCTCTGACATTTTAGCTTCTTGGCCTTGGCAAATCTGTCGCAAATTAGAATAAATTATTTAGCAGCTTCTTCTTTTCTATTTCTCTGGCAAAAACATTTCACAGACCCAAGCGACGCTTACATTTTTCCTAGACAACAAAGTGTCGCACCTTCTCCCTCACTCTGTCGCCATTCTCATGATTGTTTGGGCCATTTTCGTCACCATCTCGAGACGCAATTTCCATCGACGCATAATTAAATATTCAATTTCCATGGAGACTCCTTTGTATTTTTACTTGCTGCTTATTCCTTAACATTCCTCCAGCTGTTCCTGGCCTCTGCTATTTGCCCAAACGATTTCTGTTTGTTTAGACTTCAATTTCATCCTCATTATGGCAACCGTTTCGAGCCATTTGACTGGGGAGCAGCTAGGCACTCGCCTCACACACAAATAAATTCCCATTCACTCTCTCACATGGATATCTGGCATATCTGGATGTCTGGGATAATGCACAGCACCAAGAGTCATATCCATTTGCCGCTATCTGCTGGCCGCTCTATGGGGAAGGACGAGGAATTAAGTGAATTTATACAAAAGTGGAGCCCCAAAATTGCATATGGCTCTGTGGGTGAAGGGAGTGTTTGCCATAATTATTGCTGTTCTCTTGTTATAAACCCAAACCGCACTAGCTACCCTCTCACTCATGCGAGTGCTTGTGAAGCACTAGGCAAAGGGAATAGGTGGGGGGATGGCGAGCATAGGAGCGACGCACTCATTTAGCCAAACAATTATATCCAAGTGCACACACACTGAAATGTTGTCGGCTCTGATCTGCTCACTTGTGTGGAAATATCTCATTTGTGTGGGGCTTCCTTTGCCAACAACATCCCTCTTGCCGACTCCCTTTTGATTCTATTAAATCAGTCTATAAATGTTGGCCAAATTGCTTTAATGTTCAGCGAAAGTTTAGCTAACGACTGCGGGGACTGACATACAACAATTACAGCAAAAGGCACAACGCGGGGGCTGAAGTAGTGAAGGGTAAATAACAATAAAAACAGCAGCCAGAAGAAGAAGAAGCCAGACTACAGCTGTTGAAACATGACTTTGTGCTTGTTTAGAAACACTTGCAAAATATTATTGCAACAGCAACAACAAAGGCCTCCAATACGAGTGGGCGCACATGGAAGGAAACCAAAGTAGGAGCTAGCTACTGCAAGCGAAGCAACAAACATAGAAAAGCATTAGGATATTGGATCAGGAGTAAGCTTAAGTGGGTTAGGGAAGGGGGAGGGGCTAAGAGAGGGAGAGAGTGGGAGAGGAAAGCTTAAGTGGCTGCTGCGGTTAAAGCAGTCGAGAGTAAGTAGAAGAAGCGAATGGGTTAAGGCGGCAGCAGAGTCAACTTCACCTCCAGGCCACGCGACGTATCCGAATGGTATCATTTGGGGGCAAAGTTGGAAAAGTGCGTGAGGCACGGAAGCGGAACAGTTGAGAAGTCGAGGGAAAGAGAGCTGAGTATAGACACCGCACAGTTGGAAATTAATTTCCATGGAGCACGCCCTGGCTAGAGTATTTTATGGAGATTAAGAAAGAGATTCATGCGACCTGAACAGGTGCTAATTAAAAATGTTGTCGTCGCCCCATTAAAGAAATTTGTAAATCAACCTGCAAATGACGCGCGCAGCATGCGAAAAGTTAAGCCTAGGCACAAGCGAAATGAGGGAAAGGGCAGGGGTTAAGTGTGTCCCCAACGGGGCAAGTGGAGCAACTGGGGGTGCGGCACGTACGCCGTTAATGGATTTTTCACTGTTGTTCTTTTGATTAAAACGCATTATTTACATTTGCGACAAAGCCAACAGGGAGGGATATCTAGGGGAAAATTGAATGTGCGACGGGCTTAAGTCTAGTCAGGTAGGGGGAAATAGAGCAGCGGGGCGCCAGAGAAGGCGCCCTCGGCAAAGGTTGACAAATTGCACAACTGTCTGGTGATTTTAGTTTTGTTTTTGCATTCGGATTTCGCTGGTTTTTTTCCTTCGTTTCTTTTTGCTTAATCTGCCTGTGCTGCTGGCTGGACAGGTTTTAGGATCTGCTGGTGCAGTTCCTGTCAGACCAAAGTGCCAAACTATGGCGGATGCTTTTGTCTGCCATTACACTATTGATTGCTTCCTGTCAGCCGCAGAGCGAGACAAACGGAAGTCGCCAACGGATGTTGCCTTTGTTGCCTGTGTTACCCAGTTATCCTGTTATCCTCCTGTCGCTCTGTCGTCCTGTGAGCCTGGTCAGGCTGACCGACATGGGCTTTTGTGTGGAATTTGGCAGCACTTCACATAAGCAGCTAGCTAGTGAACCAGTTCCGCCCTTGTGGCATTCAATGCGAGATCCGTGGAATGCCATGTTCCCGCGGTTTTAACACCCCTCACATCAGCCATGGCTGCTGTGTGTGTAGGTGTGTGCGTGTGTGTATGTGTGTGTGTGTTTGCCATTGATTTCATTGCGGTCAAGTAGCATAGACCCTCAAGTGAGGGGTTAGCAGAGAAGGCCATTAAACGCACTGCTGTACGTCCGCTGACAGCAGAGAGGGCGGGCGTGATGGAGCGCGGGCAGTCAACGGGAATGACAATTGTAATGAGCCAAAGGCAATGATTAGCAAACTGTAATTGAAGACAAGAGTCAATAAACTGAGTCGAAATGGGGTCAAAACTTTAATCATTGGATACACTTTCAAGTGTTTGAGCAGCTCTTCCGCTGGCTGCCAGGGCAAAGTCCATTAGGAAAATAATAACAAATCGAAAACGAGCGGAGAGCGGGCAATTAAAAAAATACCCCAACTGTCGGCTGTCGATTAAAGCGAGGCCAATCGAAATGCGATTATGGCTGGCATGTAACCATTCAATATTCATGAGTATACTCACATCCAATCGCTACGCGAATGGATACCCCATCAATCAACTCTGAATTGCCGTTGAGTCACATTACGTGCATACGAAATACTCACAAAACTAATTGCATCAAAGTGGCCGAAGCGAGGAAATTCGAGTGGACTCCAAACCGGATGTGCAACAAATTGTATTATGGCAGCCACTCAAGCGAATGCCCAATCAACCAACTGCGAATCGCGTATATATGTAATATATATATATATATATATTTATATATCTACATATGTGCACTCGTATATCCGTAATGGAGAGCGCGAATCGGTCAAATTGGTTGTTAATCATATGAATTCAACTTGATTGCGCACAATAAGGGGCCAATGGATAGAGCATAACTTGCATAAATTGAGGCGCAGCCAACTTAATAAGTGCATTTTGCAGTTTTTTTTTGGCGTTGCCAGATGGCATAACTTTGTGTTATAAAAGCGTAGAATATATTAAAGTTATTATTATTATTTTAACTATTTTTATTATTATTAACTAACTAATTCGAATAACTAAGCTAGATGTCGACTCTGACCCTGACTAAAGTCGCTTAGGCCTATTCTCCAGCTCATCTATTGTGAACTACAAATTGTTAATTATTATAAATAGCGCAACTTACTTTAGGCATAAATTACAAATTGAAATTTGAGTGCGTGCGTAGCTCCATGGAGACAAGGGCCGCGTGTTACCTGGTGACACCTGGTGACTAATTTATGTTCATTAAGCAGGCGTTAAGTCGCCTTGAGAGCAGCTGCCGTTGTACTCATTTGCATACATTTAGGAGACGAGAGGGAGGCTTGAAGGCTAGGCGATTGCCAAAAGCGGCTCACAACATACATGTAGAGAGAGACAGAGAGAGAGAGTAAGAGAGAAAGAGGTGACAAACCAAAATGTGTAGTTCGTGTAATTTTGGGGTCGTTGGAGCGGCTGCTCTTGGCTAGATTAATATGCAAATTCATGTAGCCAGAGAAGGTGCAAGCGAAAGATAGAGAATCGGAAGAGGAGTAGAGCTTTAAGAGATTACGCGCTTGCAGCATGTGGAGCAAGTGGCAAATGGCAACGAGGCAGACACAAAAAATCAATTTGCAACACGCGCTGCTCGACGCAATCTCGTCTCGCCCCCTTTTTTCGCACTCTAATTTGTGTGTAGTGCATTTTCGTGTCCATGTCCAGGAAATGGCGAGAATTAAAGCCAAAGTGAAGAAAACTAAAGCTTAACCAATACACGCACACACACACACACACAGATAGTGCGGCAAAGCTTTGAGCTGGTTGGTAATCAGCTTGAGAGCTTTGCTGCTCGCAAAACCCATTTCACAGCTGCGAAGGGTTTGGGGTTTGCTGCATAAAAACTTGCGCTCAAATCCCATCAAATCCATCAAAATCATTTACGCAAATCACACCGCACAGGAGCCACTGAAGCATCAGCAGCAGGAGCAGCCAGGCTCAAGCTTAGGTCAGGCACCATCAATGTCAGCTGCATTTGGCTGTGATCCAATCAAGGATCCACGGGGGCAAAACTTTATTAAAGAGCAGCTGAAAACAAGGCGCCAAAAAACTGACAGCAGCAACAGCTTTTGCTATGGGGAGACAGTTAAGGGGACAGCCAGGCTGGCATATAGAAAGAGAGGGAGACAGAGAGAGAGAGAGAGACAGCCAGGCAGACTGGCTGGCTGCCTGGCAGTCAGTCAATTGTAGCTGTAGTTGCGTGGCTGCTTGCTCGAAAGTTTTAATTACACGTTCGCTGTGCCACGGGCTAAGGGGAATTGGGGAGACTGGGACTGGGACTGGGACTGGGACTGGGACTGCTCCACGGGCAACAACAAAATGTTTGGCATGGCTGCTTGCCGGAATGTTACGCCTGTTTGGCCTTGGCTATTGCTCGCTTCGGTTGCAGTTGCCGCCGTGTTTTTCGTATTTGCTTGGCGACAAAGATTTATCACTCCAAAGCCAGGAATCAGGCAACGGGACGCAAGGCTGCAGCAGCAATAACAATCAACATAGTTGCTTGACTAAAGAGTCGAGCACAGGGCGGGACTTACGGAGAAGTTGAGAGGAAGACAGACTGAGGGCAGGCGAACTGAGTCAAGGGGGTCGAAGCTGTTTTTGTTTTGATACAGCTAAGCTGTTATGAAGCTTCAAATAATATGCAACTGAAGTGAGCTTAAGAGCGTAACCTTAATTTGCGATTAACCGAAATTGATTATTGAAATGTTCCACTTAAATGGGGAGAAGAAAGAACGTGAACTTTATAGAAGAAAATCTTTAACTAAGTAAGAGCTGTACAGTGTAATGTGCGGGAGACTCATAAGCTGTTTGCTTCAAGACTATAAAAATTAATATAATATTTACCTTGACCATTTGTAACTCTTAAAGCAACCCACTGAATTGGCAACTGCACTTTGCGGCTGGCTGTTTCAGCAATTGGGTGGCTAGTTTTTTTTACTAGCGTTTGTTACATTCCGTTGCACAACACTGCAAGCAAGCGTGAGAGCGAGAGAGACGAGGCGGGAGGGCGCTATGTGCGCTGTTTGTCAGCTTGGCACGCTGATGATGGAGTGCGGCATTGTTGCATTTTAATTGAAATTTCTTTGTGAACTTGCCGAAGCAACAACAAGAGCAGCAGCAGCAGCAGCAACAATAATAACGAGCAAGCAGCACAGCAACAACATAAGCGTGTCGCCAGCAATCACACAGCAAAACAACAACGCCAAAGTAGCAATAATAATGAATGAATAAAACGAACAACAACAAAGAACAGCAGCAGCAGCAACATCAAAAACAACAATAACAATTGCTGCGCAGCCTTATTGCTGCTGCTGCTGCTGCTGCTGCTGCTGCTGCTGCTGCTGCTCCTTCTCCTACTATTGCTTCTGAATGTTGCCGCCGTACTCCAGCTGCCCATTGGCATCGTGCGCACTGACAACGAATCAACCGGGAACCTTTATATTGAGGTCTGGGTCAACATTAAGAGACTGAGCAGGAGCTGGATGTGGTGCAGGCGTTGGTAACGTTTGCATTTTTGTGGCGCAACGCAAATATAATAATAAATTTCGCATATTGCTGCCGCTTCGGCTATTATTTTTCATAAATGAAACTGTTGTCAATGGGATGTTGCTGCTGGTTGTTGTTGTTGCTGCTGCTGTTACTGCTGTTGTTGCTGTTGTTTGTTTGGTTTTTGTCACCGCTTTATTGTTTTTACCACCCACAGGCCGAATGCCAGGCATTGCGGTCAGTTTATTGTTTACCAGATATGCCGCTGCAAAAACTGGGCCCAGACGAACAGACAGAGACAGAAAGAGTGAGAGTCGGAGAAAGGTAGAGTGAGTAAGAGAAAGTGTGGAGAACCTGCGTTACTGCTGGCTGACTGGCAACCACGTAATTTGCCGTCTGATGAAGATTTACGACATGAAAGCCGCAAAATAAACGCCAAAACACATACACATAAAGCAAAAAGCCAATAGACTAGAGGGGACAACCAGCAACTTCCCTATCCCACCACCCTTCCCCCGGCAACCCCTACTCGAGCAGCTCTCTTCATGATGAATGCGCTGCGGCACACCAAGACCAAGTGCCTGGCCTGGTCTTCTAGTCTCCTACGAATGGGCAGCCTATTTGCTGCTGGCCATTTATGTAAATTAAGCAACAAAATGCACAGATTTGTCTTCTGGTTTATTAGCCAAGATGTAGCTGCTTGCTTTATGGCCATAACTCACAGGCAGCCCAGAAAAAACAATTGCAATTGGGCCCTGGAGATGTAACAAACTAAAAGTCAAAGAGAAAGTTGTCCACAGATGAAAACAAATTGTGTGTGGGAGAGAGTTCTCTACACTAAACTAAGTGAGCTGGCCACGCCTCCATATATGTATCTGCCAAGAATCTGCTCTTAATGGCAACCCTATTAGCCGAAGAGGAGGCGAGGATTAGAGTGAAGCTGATTAGAAGCTCCAACTACTCCAGCCCAGTCGCTGCTACGCCCAGCTCCCCCACTGCTAACCCACTTTGTCTGCTTATGAATACTTTGTCCAATAAATAATTCATGCTGCAAGTAGTAAGTTGGCTGCCCGGAAATGCCACCCAGAGTGAGGCTTGAGTGGCCAAGTGGGCGGATGTGCACGATTGTGAATGATGTGGGAAATATGGACTGTCGGATGCGAGAGGCGGATGCATGCAGCAGGAGAGTGGAAGAAGGGACACTCTCGGCCAGACGGATATGTAATGCAATTCACCAAACCAAATGAACGGTTTCAGGAGCTTGAAGTACGGCAACTAAGCGGATAAAGGACTACACATGTACCCAAATGGCATAGGAAGTGTGTGGAAATGAATGCAGACCATGTGTGGAGGGACCGTGAACTGAATCAATTGTAGAGAGAATATCAGAATAGCAGTTAGCAATTCAGATAATTATAATTGTTCTCCAGAGCAATAATAATAATCGGCTCTAAATTTAAATGCAGTGGCAAATTCTGATAGGAGATAAAATTTTAATGCATTTAGAATTTGCATCTAACTTTGAGTACCTTGTGAGAGAAGGATACGAACATAAGATACATGAAGTATATGAAAGAATATAATCAAAAATCTATAAGATCACTGCAGAGAAATCTATAAGTGCACAACTGGCCTCAGCGCCGAGGTACAGAGAGTTCCTTATTAAAACTTAAAGAGCATTAAGCCCAATGATCATACAAATATGGCTATCTTAGACACGAAAGTATCTACTAAACTAGCAGCTGAAACTAGTTGTGACAGATTGAAAACTTAATTAGCAAAGCTTTCATATTTTGACACTTGGATTCCTTTATTATCACACCTTAATCATTTGGCTAACACAAGCACAGATCGTGAAGTGTGAAGGCTGAGTACAGTACATAGTACGTAGTAGTATATCTTAATCTATTTCTAGGTAAAATAGGGTTTTAAGTGAGGGGCAGATAAACTCGTTGAGCGAGTTGAAATTGTTTATGTTGAGCAAGGAAGAACTTAATTCAATATCGAGGTACTACTGCAGTTGGGTGAGCGCTTGGCCGGCATGCCGTTTGTAAAGCATTAGCGATATGTTGACCAGACAGGGGGCAGCGAGCCAAAAGAGGCGCGTACCAATGCCCGTGGCCTCCCGATGAAAGATGCCAGCAGCGCCACCCCGACCCGTATTGCAAAAGGACTCCTCGCAACAGGATGTGCACGCATAGAGCTTGGTGCGTTCACCGATCACAATGCAACCGGGTTCACAGTTCACAGCGCAGCGACGATCCAACGACCACATCTTGGGCGAACTCGTCGAGTTCTCAGTACTTGTAGTGTACGAGAAGCGTTTGACCTTTAGCAAAAAGGAGAGAGTGTTAGGGCACTTATGCGGCCATACGCGTAATAGTTCCTACCATGCAGATGAACTCTTCGCCCTGACATTTCTTCATCAAGGACGTCTCATTCCGTTCGAGCACATCCACACAGCCCGGCCCATCGTCCATGGTATCGCAGGCATAGCACCAGAGTTTGTTCACCCGTTCAATGGCCGCTGCGGTGCGATGTATGTGTCCGCCACTGGTCAGCGAGGTGCTCAGGCTGCCCGCGGAGTTGGGTCCCGATGCGGCCGAGCTGCCAGTAGTGGCTGTGCCAGTCACTAAACAAAGCAATTGCAAAACTTTATTGATTTTCCCCTTGGCGAGTTGAGGTGAGGCTTGAAGGTCGCTTCACTTACCGTTATTGACGCAAGCTGTGAATACAATGGAGCAATAGGTGAGCACAAAGTAGGCGAGCGTGAGAAGCGCTCTGGACATATTGTGGCCGCCAATTGGACCACAATTGGACGCCTTCTCAGCCAGCTGGAAATGCTATTCTATAAGAGACTAAGAAAACTTTTGTTTATGTGCGGAGGTTAAACCACTTCATTTGACAGCGAATGTCAGAGATGCAAGAGCTGTCAAAAGAGAGTCATGCGCACTGGCGCGCAGAACCATAGGTTAGCAAAGACACAAACCCAGTGACTGCAGCATGAACAAGTTGAGAATTTTACAGGCGAAAGCTGAATCTAAATCCCGGACAGTCGAAAAAAACTTCCAGATAGAGAATCAAACTATAGTGAAAAGGGCGAAAAAGGAGAACAAAACAATCACAAGTAAATATTAAAAGATAGCTAATTATATAGACGCTTGACCCAATCCATTGATTCTGGTTATTTATTAGTAGGTACACATTAAAATTTTGGAATAATCAATAAACAATGAAATCTGTTACACATTTGGGCCTCAATAGAGGCGCAAATATTGCAAGGCCTGGCGACTTTGCATGGGATACAGTTCGCCTACGTTGTACATGAGATCGACAATGTGAGTGGGACGCAGCATGCGCCAGGGCATAAATTTGAGAGTCTTCTGATCACAATGCACATCCTTGTCCATTTCGAGAGGCAGTGGCACCTCGTTGTAGAGCATGCGACCATCGACACTGCGCTGCAGCGTGCAGGGCAAACCGATTTGATCGGCAAAGGCCTTGAAGAGAATAGCACGCTCAAACTGACAGCCGCTGCGCACCTCGCCGATCGGTATGAAATTGGTGTGGTACACCTGACGCAGATGCTCCAGATGACAGCGCACCGTATGGCGGGAGCACTCTTCCGTTGTATTAATGTCCAAGATCTTGATATCCTCGCCCATGACGCTATTCACAGCTTCGGCTATAATCTTGCTGCGTTTGGCCACATTCTCAAAGTCGATGCTGCGTCTGATTTTGTCCGGGTTCTCCACAAGGCCGTTCAACTGAGCGGAAAAATACTGTTAGCTAGGTTTAGCAGGGCCTAAGATACTCACGGCCAGTGTCTCATTGAGAGCTTCGAGGTATTCAGGCAGCTTTCTATCAGCTGGCCGCTTGCAATATGACCACTTCTGATCGCCCGAAACGTCGGCCGCGTGCAGGCAATGTGAGGGCACACAGACTACATCTGCTTCTAATTCTGTCGGCCGGTCAAAATTTACCACCAGCACTGTCTCTAGCGGCGAGCAATCGAATCGCAATATGGCCTGAAAGCAACAGAAATCGTCGAACTTACGCTTCGACACATAGAAATCCTTCCCAGCCGTAATGTCCGTAAAGCCCAGGTAATTGCGAATGCAGAACTTCATGGTCGGGCACTTGGATAAAATGCTCTCGATTGCCGGACCCCACGTGGAAACACAAAATGCATGCTTCTGGAAGAGCATCAAGCTGTGACGAAATAACTGAATGAGCCTCAAGGCAAATAAGAGTTATCAGCGCTGTGGCAACACTGGTCTACTGACTGGCCCTATTAAGTTGGCTGCGCTTGAATACTCGATCAACTTACACCTGCAGGATGCCTCGATCGATGTAGGCATCAACGAACTCATTGAACCGTGTCGTCTGCAATATAAAATTGGTAACAGCTGTCTTCACCAGATTTGAAAGAGATTTCAGGGCGCGCTTCATTGAAGACACTATGTAATTGGCGAGTAGAATCTCACGAACGGGTTCCTCATCGATAATAGTACAAAGACAACGAAATATGTTATGGACCAATATTGAGTGAGCGTACGAGCGCTGTTAAAGAGTGGACAATCGATAAGTTTAAATAGATAAAGAGAATCGATCAACGTTAAAAATCAAATGTGACAAACAAAATTTGTATCGATAAACATATATATCTATATATCAACGTCTGTATGGTTAATATTTCGATTAAAATGATATAACTGTAAATCGATAAGCGAGTGTATCGCTATTAGAATATCGATGAACATGTATATCGATAAGTCCAACTAGATAGCAGATATACATGATATTTACCATAAGAAGCTGGGCAATCTGTTCAGTGAGCGCTACATTTTGGCCCATAATCGCGCGATACTCGTCATTGTCAGCCAAACTCTCGATAATCGCCAGCAGCGACAGTATTAAATCGATCGATAGTTCAGGCAATCCCTGCTTTAGGGTAGTTGTTAATGCGTCACATATGTCGAGATCTATTAACTGGTCAGCTGTGATGCGGAATGCGTGAACCAACAGACTTCCGATCAGCTCGGCTGCCTGTTCCCGTGTCTTGATGGACACATCAGGTGCGCGAAACAAGTTAATTAGCCGTAACATGGCACCATGAGCATACTCGCCAATGATTGCACGGAGTGCCTCCGGATGGGCGATCAGGCGAGTGATACCCATGATAACAAAGGGAGCAGGCTCGTGTTTGCTCTTCATCAGGCACTTGATGAACATGTTCGTAATGTCTGCTTGATGGATGCGAGGCAGATATTTTTGATACTTGGCTGTCTCAGCGAATATCGAGATGATGGCACAGACAACCTCGGATGGCAAAGTATCCATAATCTCCTTCAAGTTCTCCACCATCTGATCGAAGAGATTCTGCTCGAAGAACAGCTTTGTCATTTTCGCCGAACGCAAGGCAGTGGCTAGCACCTCGATGATGCCAAGGGCATCTGGAGCCTTGGGATCCAGGCAGAAGGCCTTCACCAGCTGTTGTAGCACAAAGAAACAACGTTGAAGACCATCGAAGACACTGTCTTCGCTGGTATCGGCCAGCAACGTCTTCAGCACCTTGATGGAAGCCAAACGTATCTCGAGGAACTCGTTGGTCAGCTCACAGACAATGCGATCGACCGGGAATCCCGGCAGCGTGGTAAACTCTAGCATCTCCTCGGCGCTCTGAACTTGCAAAATCTTATGCAATGCCTCAATGGAATTAAGAACCGTGTCGGGATTATCCGAGCTAACAAATATATTCTTGAACTTCTCCAGGAACTCAATGTTCTCAATTATAGTCTGTGCGACCTTCGGATCGCGCAGGCACAAGTTTACTATATAGGTCAGATACTCGATGCAGAACTCGTCGACCTCTTTTAAATAGAATCTGAAGGCCACATCGAGCAGCTGCGTCGTCTTCTCCGCATCATATTCTCCCAGTTCCGTGTTGTCCAAGATGACCGTGATGAGAAATAAAGCAAAACGTCGAATTATCACACTGTCCGCATTGATAAATAGTTCCTTATCAATTAGAATCTCCAGCAGTAGATGCTGCTTTAGCTCAAATATATTTAGATCCTGCTTGCGAGCAAACTCTGCCAAATGACTGAGCACAGCTTGAAGGACGGGTTCCTCCGTGGAGCTAAGCAGCAATAGGGCAGTTTGCAGATTTTTTATAGAAACATTCAGAACGCTAAACGAATTTTCAGTGGTTTTGCCACGATCGGGATATTTAGCGCGAGCGTCGTAAACTCGCTTTGTTCCGTTCGACATTTTTATTTAACAGTAATCATTGAATTCTCTAAGGATTTCCTTAGTAACTGACTGAAAAGGCGTTGAAGTGGCATTATTTCATACAATTTAAAAGAGATATGATTTATTTCGAAATTCCTTTTACCAGTTCATATAATGTAAAAAAAGTGCAAATTCTCATTGAAAAGAATTCGAAATGGTTGTATAGCCGATAGCAATTGTCACGCAGCACGGCTAATGGAAATGAGCTGCCTGACATGGCTTTTCTCATCACATTTAAAGCATAAACAACCTTTTGTAAGGAAAATGCCTCTTTATTATCAAATTGAAATATTTTTCAATATTAATATTTACTTATCGAATTATAAATAGAAATATGTTTATAATTTTCAAATTTAATTTTGAACATAACCGTCAGCAGTTGTGATCGATGCAGCGTTTGCAACAAGTTGGCAGCTCCGGCGATTGAAAAAGATGAAACATATTAACGGCAGCGCGAATGGGGTGGAAAACATAGCGCAAAAGAACGCGACGCTTGTGTTTGTTCGCTGGCATTTAACAAGAAAAAGTAAAGTAAGCTGCGCCGTGTACAATTTGAATTAATTAATAGACAAACTAATAAATTAAGCAAAAAAGCAATTAAGTTAGATAAGAAAAGCTAAGAAAAATCGTTAAAGTGAAGAGCTGGAAAAACAAATACAATGGTCAAAAAGGTCCGGGCGAATGCGAAGCGCAACAAAAAAAATAAAGAAAAGGAAAATACGGAGGAGCAGGGCAGCACCGATGCTGCCTCCACATCGAATACAGTTGCGACTTGCAGCAGCAGAAACAACAGCAACTGCAACAGCAGCAACAATGCCAGCGAACAGCGCTATGCAGGTCAAGGGCCAATGTACACAATCCTCTCGAATGCGCAAAATTCAGAAACATTTCACAAGCGCTACATCAAGGAAATGAAGCAACTGTACTCCAAGGTATGTTGTTGTGCTCAGCAGGCAGGCAGGCAGGCAGGTTGCTGTGCTGGAATTGTAGTCTAACTGTAATTATGCTCTATTCCAGCTGGATCACGATGCCTTCATCTACACATTCATCCAGATGTTCAAAACCATTCTGGAGGCAGATGACAGCAATGAGTATGGAAATACCGCGCTCGCTTTCTGTGCCAAGTTCGTCACCAGCTTCGAATCGGAGAAAACACATCCGCTGTTAGCCGAAACCTTTTCGTGGCTACTATCGGTGAGTGTCTACTGTACTTTCTTATCAATTGGGTTTTTACACATTTTGTTTGCTTTTTTTTGCAGACAATTTCGAATAGCCCACACATACGATATCGCATCTGTTTCTTTGTGAATCTCATACTAAAACATCTCGGTCCATATGCTGCGCTCGATGACTCGCAATGCGATCAGATACTTTACTATATGCTGGACAGGCTGAAGGATATCTCGCCCAGTGTGCGTAAAGAGGCTGTGCTCGCAATGCAGCGCCTGCAGGTGCCCGATCATCCCAACGATCAGGTCTTATGCGCCTATCAGTATCACTTGAGCGCGGATCCCTCGTCCAGTGTGAGGCAGTGCATCATTTCGTGCATGGGTCGCAATTACTTGACCGTGCCGCACATACTGCAACGTCTGTGGGACGTGGATGAGAAGGTGCGTCGTCACACGTACATCAACATGTGCAACTATCCTGTACGCTCCTACAAGGTATCTCAGCGTCTGACGCTCATTGAGCGCGGACTGAACGACAGCTCCGAGACTGTGCGCAAGAATGTGATTAAATACATGCTGAAGGCCTGGATCGAATCGTATCAGCATAATTATGTACAGCTGGTGGCTGCTCTAAAGCTCGACTCCACTGAGGATGAACTCTTGCGCTTTCGACGAGTCGCTCGCCAGATGCTTTTCGTGATCTTTGAGCAACACAAAGACCATAGTGATTTGCTTGCCCAGCTGCCCCTCACCGAAGACTGTGAGCTGCACTGTTGTGTGCCACCCGAGTCGCTCACTGTCGAGCTCGTCCTCTACTGGCAGTGCCTCAGTGGCTACTTTCAAAAGATCCAAGCAGACGAATTTGAACTAGTGCTCCCAGAGCTAAGCATCTTCTGTGACTATGTTAAGAAGTGAGTGCCTATTGCATATGCAAATACTGAATTCGACTTCAACTAATCTTTGTCGTCGTTAGATTCTGTCAATTCCAGAAGTCAGATATGGACAAATTTGCTCAGATCGAGTTTCAGAGCATGCTCCTCTCTTTAGTGGAAATGCTGGAGACTTACGATCTGGGGGATGAAATTGGACGTGACAATCTAAAGGAGCTAATATCGCATCTGCTGAGAGAATGCCTGCTGGATCCCAAAATCGTGGCCGTGCTCGTTCGCTGCATGGAGCAGCTGGTGAGCGATGTGACCGCCCGTATGCAATATTTTCTAACTATTATCTATGACATATGCGAGCTGCATACGAAGCAAAACGATTTGGTGCACGATCGTGAGTTGACGGATATGTTGCTTGAGAATGTGGAAACATCGTTGGTCATGAAGATCAGGTCGCTGAAAGTGAGAATTCTTGATCTGGAAGAGATGGAGGAGAACTTTGTCAGGCAAAAGGAATATATGCGTGCACAGGCTGTTACCAATGAACGGATGATTGTGACGGATGAATATAGAGATCTGATACAGCCGCTGCTCGAGAAACATGGCGAGCTGCAGTTGCCCACACGACCTAAGCTGTCGAAACAGGAGCGAGTCCTCAAGGGATTATACATATCCTTTTACATGGTCGCCTCTGAGCATGTGCACAGCTTGAATCCCAGCTTATGCAAGCTATACAAGGTAATGCGGCTCCTATATATGATTTTAGAGCAAACATTACATCCATTTCCATTTGTAATTGCAGGACTTCATTTGCCGCTATTTGCCTTCGACGGAGCAGGATATCTTCGAGTGGTCCATGAAGTGCGGCACCACGTTCAGCATTCTGTACGAGGCGTACACCAAGGAAGTGTTCGACGTGCTGGTCGATGAGTTCTACAAGAACAACAATTTGCGCCTTTGCGAAATATCCGCACAGTGCGTTTGCGAACAAATGGATCACTACGGTATCGACTTCTTTATGGACATGAGTCAATCCGTTGCGGTCCCCAAATCGAATCGGCGCATGTTGTTCACCATGCAGGACTTCGAGGGCGAAGAGGATAGAAATCAATCGCAAAGCAGCGATCAAAATGCGGACATCATTAGCATGATGGGCTTCTTTGTCGAGAAGGTTGTGGACAAGAACATCCTGCTGGCTATTGTGCGTGGCCTTTGTCGCCTAGTTCTGCGTGGCCATCTAGACAATCGCCCTGAAGTGCTGGAGAAGCTGCTCAAGCGCTACTTCAATCCAAGCACGGGTAAATACAAGAAATAATAATAATATAACCTATTTCTAAACTGATTCCTATTGCTTGTAGAGCCCATAATTAACCAGGTGCTTAGTATGTTCTTTGAGAATATTGTGGAGCAAAAGCTGCAGCACTTACTGGAGCCATGCCTGCTGCCCATTGTGTGGTCTGTGATGAACTGCAGCTACGATTCTGTGCTGAACGATGTGCTGCCCGATCATGTAACCAAGTTCTTCATCGACCTAACAACGCAAGTGTCGAGCACGCCTCAGAGCAATATACACAACCGCATTGCACTCAGTTTTCTGAACTACATACACAACTTCTACACGGAGCGCAAGGAGATGTGTCGCCTGCTGACCAAAGAGCTGACCGCGCTCAAGCTGAATGTGCTCAACAATTCCCAGCTGAAGGACGAAATGCATGAGCTGGCCGACAAGCTTGCCGCCGTAAGTGAACTTAAACAATGTGTTTTAACTGTTGTGTGAATCAACTTTGTATTGCAGTGTGAACTGGAGCCGCGGATGATTAAAAACATTGAAGATTTTAAGAAGATGCTAAACGGCAGCTTCATGCCTCCTGCTCGCAAGCCCGATGGCAATGACAGCGATGCGGATGCCGAGGAGTGTGAGAGTATCACAGCAACAATTGCATCCACATCGGAGGGTCCTGCGCAGCTGCCTGCAGCGCAAGCTGTTGCCGAGAGCGAAATCACTGCACCTGTAGACGCTACTACAGCAGGGACAGCAGCAGCCACGGAATCAGCAGCAACAGAAGCGGCACCTGTCCCGCCAGCGACTTCGGAACCTGTGCTAACTACTTTTGGTGCCAAGAACCAGGTTGGCTTGAGGTTCTTGCGACGTTCGCTTTACACCTCGGATAGCGAAAGCATAGGCGAGTCCCAAACGCCAGCAGCGTCAGAAGCGGAGGCATTGGAGAAGCAGCAACAGGAAGTAAAAGAAATCAGTCGACGCTATCTGCGTAGGGATAAAACCAAACAGCGGCTAGAACGGGCAATAGCGCGTGCCTCAAAAACGCCCGAAAAAGAGACCGAATCAACTAAAGTTGTAGCACCTGATGCGGATGAAGAGAATATATTTGTGGATGTGGAATCTCAAGGCGAAGACGAAATCGTTGAAGTGGTTAGTCCTGTTCGAGACCAGTCGGTAAGTGTTTCACTTCAACTTCAAGTCAAATTCTTAAACTAAACAGTCGCATTTTGCTTTCTTCTCTGTGCAGGGCAATGAATCGGAGGAAATAATTGTGGATTCGCCTACAGAAACATTGCCAGAAGTGAGCACAGCGGTAAATGCGAGTCACCTGCGTCTGCGCTCGATGCGCAATCGAAACGCGAATGGCAGCGTGCGCAAATCGCCAACGGGCAGCAAAGTGAGTACCGCGCGCTTGCGCTTGCAGCTCTAGGCAGTGCGACAGTCCCAATCCCAGTCCTCGAGCCAAAGCCAGATCAAGAGCAAGGCAATCAGTAGCAGTAGCAGACAGCAGACAGCAAAAACGAAAAATAATATTCGCTTTAGTTTAAAACGTAGACTGTAACAAATGATGATAATCCAAGATAAATCCTGAACATTGTTTAATTTAAGCACAAATGATAAACAATATGCACTTGGCATTGACTGAAAAAAAGAACTGAAAAAAAACACGTTTTTAACAATTCAACAAAACAAAAACAAAACGTCGTTTTCTTTACGCCCCGGTCTACTAATATAAGCCGCACATAAGTTCAATATTATTTAGTTAGTGCAAGTTAGTAGCCTATTTAAATTAGCTTTCTGTTTTACTTTTTTTAATTTATCTTGTTTTTCTTTTGTGATTTTGTAGCTTAAAGTGCTTCACCTCGATATACAAACGCCGTTGCGCAATGGACGCAAACGTGTACTACGCAAGTCGGTGAGTGCAACGACATCTTCACCGTCCTCCTGCGATTCGCCAAAGTCCTCGGAACGCATCTCGCATCTGCGCAAACAGCAACGACTTGATGCGAAACCAGTGACCAGAAGACGCAGCAGCGTGACAATGGCTGCTCCAGCGGAAAAGGCGACATCAGCATCAAAGAGCACAGCCAGTCCCACGGACAGCAGCTGTTCCTCTATCAAGGAGAACACGGCACCTGCAACAGCTGTACCTGTACCAGTATCAGTATCTGTACCTCCACCAGCAACAGCCCCAACAGCAGCCTCAAAGTCTAATCACAAGTCGCCGCAGGCTAGCAGAAGACGGTCCGCATCCCATCTGAACAGCAGCACGCCCGTCTCCAGGATATTAACGCGTCATTCGGCGCGCAAACTGCGTATGAATACCATGTGCATGACCCGCAAACGTGTGTCCCAAGAGCTGAGCATGACCGAAGATCAACTCAAGGTATCCACACCGAAGCGCGTACGCCAGGACAAAGCAGCACACAAAAAACGCAACGCCACCGAACGAAGCCCAGTACACACAAACAGTTCAAAGCGCTCCACGCTGCGAACCCGATTGAGTGGAGCAGAAGCCCCCATAGCAAGCCGCACCCGTCACAAATAGTCTCCATTCCTCTGACCCCCACCCCTTCGTTTTGTGTAATTTACTCGATTAAGATATATTTTTAATATTTTATCTGTTTTAGATGTTCATTAACCTTGTAAGTTTCATGTATAATACGTGTCATGTTTGAATATATTTATTTAAACAAATGTAAGTGTAAATTAAGTCGAGATATATCCTTTAAATATCGGTAAGGATACGGTTGAGAGCAATTGTAAATATTGCACAAAAATAGTTGTAGCACAGTGACTTCCTTGCACAGGATGCAAGGACTTAGTGCCTTAGTATTGTAAGGACAATTTCTATCGACCGCCACCAAAAATTTATGGGGTCATCTAGGAATCCAGGACTTTAATATATCTGTAACAAACAAAAAAATAGTAATAACTCAGCAGCTGGCTGGACGATCTTAATATCCTTTGGGTAGTTATTAGTCCTGGAGAATACCTATCGTTTGACACAGGACTCTTGACAATGTGCGAGAAGATGCAGGAGCTATAAAGATTATGTGTAAAAAGGATATATATTCATCCTTAGATAACGGCACAAATTTGTAATGGCAATAGATGTAGTATGCCCATACGATCCTATCGCACCATGTCTCGCAAAAATCCGTAAGGATATAGCCGAGTTTGAGCTATTTTTCTAAATAAGGACATTTATATATGTCCATAACTCACCTATATCCTTTAGGATTTTGGCGATATATACCTTTTTGAACTTGTACAGTTCAGGACTATCGATCGGCATTCAAGGATTTCCAGGATTCCACAAAAAATTTCGACGTAAATTTTTATAAGGGATATGGTCGAAAAATTGTCAAAATGGCCAAAAATCGCAAATAACTTGGCCATTTGGATGACTTTTGGGATGCCCTTTGAACTAAATGGTGTCCTTGTGGCACAGATTAGGAATTAGCTACAACAAGGACGAAAGTCCTTCAGGAAGCTGAGATAAAGTGGAGCATTTTTTAAAAGAAAAATGCTTATAACTCGGCCGTATCCTTGCGTATCCTGGCGATTAAAGCGTCAAATTAATTGGGGTCACCAGGAGTACCAACTGGTCAAATTTCATCAAAATCGTCCTTGTGGTTTAGGAGTAAATGCAAAATTTAGAGTTTTTGCGTATATTTTAAGCGAATTCACACAGTTTTCGGGACATGTTTATTTTCTTTGCGCTAACTGGCATTGTGGCTGCAGCTGTGGCATGTGATTAATGTGCATGATTTTGGCGACACGTGAAGGTCAGGAACACGTAAAAATTAGGACTTTCAAATAGCATTTAAGGATGTTCAGAATTCCACCAAAAATTTCGAAAAATTTTCAAAAATGCTAAACATTTTGAATAACTTAGCCATTTGAATGACTTTTGGGTTGTTCTTTGAACCAAATGGTGTCCTTGTGGCATAAGTAATAATTACCGACAGCAAGAACGAAAGTCCTTTAAGGAGTTGAGATAGAGAGAACTATTTTTTTTAAAGAAAGATGCCGATTAAGGCGTCAAATTAATTGGGCTCACCAGAAGTATCAACTGGTCAAATCGCTTAAAATCGTCCTTGTGGTTTAGAAATTAAAGAAAAAATCAGTTTGTTTCGTTTATTTTAAGCTTAATTCGTACAGTTTTAGGCACTACATATTTATGTCCTTAGCGCTAACTGGCGTTGTTGCTGCAGCTCTATCTGCTGGTGGCTGTTGCACACATGTGATGCATATGCCACCGAGTGTGGCAGTTTATACAATTTTTAGCTGCAAACGAGTCGTGGCACTCCTTTGCAGGATGATTTACCACATATCTAGCCAGCAATGGGATTAGTTAATGGTAATTGATCCTTTTGATCTGTTTTGATTGAAAAACTGGCTATAGAGATTAACATAGTACAATTAAGAACTAGATACATTGCATTATTAGATAAGTACATGCTGAGATTCGTTCATACAGTAGGAAAGGAGTATGAAATACAATAGAAACATATTTTGAGCAGTGATTGAGTTTGAGTTAAGGATGTCCTATATACTATAGTACTATATAATAGAGGATATTGAACTTTAAATGCTTAGTGTTCAATTAGAAACATAGACAATAAGGCCAAGAATGATGTTGTTTCCAACAGGCACATGGTTTGTGTGCACTTATATCTAAATAATATATGATATATTTATATATCTATATATCGATTTGCGCATTGCTCAGAGCTTGACTCCCTTCAGCTTGACGGCCGTTGTGTGCAGATCCCACTCCTGCTGCTGTAGCGCTTCGTATGCAGCGGACAGACTAAGATTCGTCTCAGCAAGTATGTTCTGCAGCTTGATCAACTTAATGGACTTGTGGACGTCCCAATTGATGAACTCCAGGGCGCCCAGGCAGCGTGTAGGTGTGCTCTGTGTGGAATACACGAAATACTTTAGCTAAGGTAGATGAAAAGGAATTTTGAACTGAACTTACGTCCTTGCCCAGTACTTTGACCATGATGCGCACTTCGTCAGAGTCGACGCCACGTTCGCAGCCGCGTGGCTTCTTGTCGGAGAACTCCAGTAAATCCTCACAGCTTACGGAATTGGAGTCGGCCAAACGTGCCGCAGTTGCTGCAAAATATTCCGCCTCTGTTTGGGGCTTTGACGCAGGCACTGAGTTGTTGTTCGCCACCTCGTTGCCATTGATGGAGCTTCGATTCATGGCCTGGTTAACGGAAGCGCGCACCTTTTTGAAGAGTGCATTACCCGCGAGCTCATTGTCGGCACTGGCCAAGCGCCGCGAGCAACTGCTCTCCAAAGGTTCCTCAGTTGCTGCTGCAGTCGTTGCTGCTGCTGCTGCGGCCACCGCCGCTGCTGCTGTGGCTGCAGTTGGCGCCATCTCCTGAGGCACTGCTGCAGAGTCCAAGGTGGTGGAGCTATTGCTGCTAGCCAGCGGCTTGTCCAGGTTGCGCAACTCATCGTCGTTCACATAAAGACCCCCCCGGACTTGAGCAGGCTCGAAGCCGACATCCTTGCTCTTGTTGTAATGCTCCTTTTGTATGGAGAAGTTGTAGAAGCCGTCGGTCACGTCTGGTGACTGCAATACCATGTCCTCCTTGCTCATGTCCCCCTCCAGTATGGACTCGAACTGCAGCGAGGCGCTGTCCGTCAGCCCAGCCGCATCGGCAGGCGCCTGCTTGTCCAGCTTATCGAGATTCTGGTAGGTATGCGCGGCAGATGCTTCGCCTGCTATGGCTGGCATATTCTCGTACTCCCGGGCATCGGGTCGACGACGCACGCTGCTAGAGCGCACAGCAGCCACCACCTCAATGGAGCGGGTCTGCTGCTGGTGCTGCGGATGCGTCTGTTGCTGCGGCTGTGGCGATGCATCACCAAAGTCTGCCAGCTTGCTGAGCGTGCGCTGCACACCATTCGCTGGGATGATGAGCGGATATTTGCGCACGTGTCGCTTGGCGCTGGTCTTCACCTGCTTCTTGCCCTCGCGTGATGGCAGCGGCAAGGCATTCGTCTCCTGTGGCTCAGGAAACTTGTAGCTGGCGTGTGTCATGTAGCTGGGACTCTCGCACGATTCATTGCGATTCTCATCGCTCTGCCGTTCTACGACGCTCGCCTGTTCGGCGCGACGCACTCGCTGAGCCGCGCCTCGCGTAGGCAGCGTCATGGGTCGCGGTGGCTGCAGCCGCTGCAACGGACGTGCACAGTCCGCAGTCGCAGTCGCAGCCGCAGCGGATGGCTCTGCAGCAGGAGCTGGTGCAGCAGCAGCAGCTGTGAGCGGATAGCTGAGTTGACTGCCCAAACGACGCGGCAGCGTCTTGGCATTCATCAGCTCAAACTCATCCGTGTCCATGTGGCGCAGCAACGTGGCAGCCGGACTGGAGCCAATGTCCAGCATGCCCTTGCGCTCAATCAGGCTGTTGTACGCCTCGCGGCCCTCCTCGCCAATCAGCGCCTGTGAACATTCAAATGGGGAAAAGAGGAGAAAAGCACAGAAATAAGTTTAAATAATAAACAAAAATAAAAACAAAAAAGAAAGTGATACAAAGAGCTTAACACAAATGCTAAATGAAACAACATAATATATAATTTGTACATAAATATTAATGAAATATCATAATAGATCTATAAAGAAGTTCTTTTTGTCTTTTGCTTTATTAAATCCCTTTAAATATACACAACTTTTTTGATTACCAATTGGTTTTCTGTTTGGTTCTTAGAATGCAAACTTTTAATAAATTTTCTTTTTCTTTCTTCTCTTCTTCTTCGTCGATTTGTTTTTTAAATATGTATATATAATACTTGGAAAAAGTTTTCTTTTTAGATTTTCGATTTTCGATTTCAGATTTTAGTTTAAGTTTAAGTTTAAGTTTAGGTTTAGATTTTCTCATTTAGGTTTTGAAACGCTTCGAACGCATGCTTTAGAATATCATTTTTTGGTAGTTTAATATATTTTAGATCTTCTTTAAGATATGAATATATATGTATGTATATGAATTTGTAATTATATATAGGTAAGTATGTATATAAACTTTGTATATAAGTAATTTTGTTTTTGTTTTTGTTTTTCTTCTTCTTTGTATTTCGGTTATCTTTATCAATAAATGCACAGAATGCGACAAATCGTTTAATTCGAATACATTATTCAAGTTCGTAGTGCTCACGTGGAGCTCTAAGATATCAAAAAAAATTGTTTGACTTGAAAATCTCTGAATATGCGAAAGTAGCCCATATACCCCGTCTCTCTTACAGGGTATGCGCGACTCCCATATAGTAGGTATGTATGTATGTATATCGATCATAATATAGTATAGTATAGTAAAAATGCAAGCGTAAGGATATGGCACATAATACACATTTGCATATGTACGAGTTATCTTTTCTTCTTTTTTTTCGGACAATTTTTTATATATTTTTTTTATGATAGAATTTTTTAATTTTTTTTTTTGGGAATGGTGTTTTCAATGAAGGATTGTCAACGGTTGAGTGTGCGTGTGTTTGTGTGTGTTTTCGATGACTGTTGTTGTTGTTGTAGCTGTGTGTGTTGTTGTTGTTGTTGTTCATTTGAATAC